ACCTACTACCTGCCAGGCACTATTTCTGGTGTATGGACACTGCAAAGAAGCAGAAATTCCTGCTCCATGGAGCTGGCATTCTCTAAGGCCTTTCTAGTCTTGCGCCCCTCCCCCAGGGTCGTGAGTTCCAGCTCTTTGTTCGGTGGCTGTTGTTCTGTGGCTCCCCAAGTGGCCTCCACCTCTCAGAGCTGTCATTTCAATAACCCCAGCCTTCTTGATCATTAGACTTTTGCGATTTTAGGAATTAACGTTTAATTAAAAATTTTGGAGCCCTTCATGTGTGCCAGACCCTATGAGTTGGGTATATTTGAGAAACAAATTAGGTGAATCTAATTGTTGAAGCATAGTGAAAGTAAATTTCAATATTTAAAAATACTTTTCAAATACTTGATAGGTCCTGCAGTCATATCCTAAAATACAAGTCCTTAGGATTTTAACAATTGGCAAGATGAAGCTAAAGACAAGATGTTTGTGTAAGTGACTTCCATGAAGCAAATATCTATGAATTGATTTCTTTGAAATTGAGCTCAAATAACATATACATTTTTTAATTTGCATTTTTAAATAAATGTCCCCAAACTGGCCTTTTGGGAACACCAAAATTATGCAGTGCACAGCCTACACAACTGTAAGCAGTTGCCCTTGCGTGGATCTCAGGATAGAGTTAGAGATAGAAATTTGAATTGGTAGGAATTATAGACGTGTATTGTAGATGCGATCCATCTCCCTTGAGAGAGAGAGAGAGAGAGTTTGAAATGAGAATGGGAGAGGGTGGACTGGGCCCTGGCTGTGAGGATAGAAGGACAAACAAGCATGATCCAGCAGAGGACACAGATAGTGAGTGCCCAGAGGAATTGGAGAAAATGGGGAGATTTGAGACAGAAGCCAGGGGGAGCAAGGATTTCCAGCAGAAAGGGAGGGCTGAGTAATGTCAGAGACTGCAGAGGCTGCAAGTAAGATGTTGAAAATGATCTTTTGTGTTGAGTGGCCTTGCAATGATCACTATTTAAGTAAAATTATATAATCTGAACCATGTCAGTCTGGTACATTAGCACCAGAGTGTGAGGATTGGATTAAAGGCAACAACTGAGAATGCTGTAGAATTCCTGAGGCATTTAAAGAAGGAAGCTGCCTTATGCTACTGACTTGAAAATGAAAAGAGATACAGTTGATGCTCATGATTTACAAATTCTGTGTTTGCAATTCATCTACTCACTAAAATTTATTTGTAACCCCCAAACCAATACTTGTGGCGCTTTTGCAGTCGTTTGCAGAGATGCACATGCACAGAGTGGTAGTGAATTTCATACCCCACGTACACATTTTCAACTGAAGTCGGACAAGGACACGCTGTGCCTCCTTGTTTCAGCTCTTGTACCATCAACGAGTGTCCTTTGCATGGTCTATGAAGTGTCATGGTTTTTTGCTTTGTTTTGTTTTGTTTGTATTTTCTTGCTTTTTTGGGGGGCAGGGGGGGACGTATTGCTGTTTAAAATAGCCCCCAGGTGTAGTGCTGAAGTGCTGCTTAGGTTTCTAAGCCTTCTAAGCCAGAAGGCTGCCCTGTGTTTTCCAGGGGAAATAGTTGGTGAGACACGCTTCATTCGGGCGTGAGTCATAGTGCTGTTGGCGGTGAGTTGAATGTGAATGAATCTCTGTACGGTCCATCCATGAAACGGAAGAGGAAATTTGCTGGTTTATACAGGAGGCCGCTCTGTAAGGTGCTGGAATAACATCCATAGTGTGTGATGAAGCTATGGAAAATGTGAAAAAGTGGCTAAATTTGTGGTTCTTGAGACGACGACTTATGAAACAAGTACAGGAGACAGCATTATTGTGAGGCTGAAAGCTAAGGAAATGTACATGCATGCTCCCCATGTCATGAAAATGTTTGCACCTGTTTTCTTTCTGTGTTTTTATAAAGAAACCTGAGACTTAATTATGAATTTGTAAGAAATATATATTAAATCAGCTGCCTTTAAACAGAAACACACATAAAATAGGATGTATTGTTTGGCTGACAAAAATTTTGGGCCCAGAGGTTCTCAGGAACCTAACCCTGTATGTCCCCTAGAAGTAAGGATTCAGGAGTCACTAAGTCAGTGTTCACGGTGATTTGATAAACCATAACTACCGTGAATAATGAGAATTTATTGTATAGACATCTATGCTAAATGCCTGCCATTTTTTGACTAAGCTTCGAAAAACATGGACTGCTGTGTATATGTTTGAAAATCTGCCAGAAAGGAATGCTAAAAGACAACTTGTGCTTTTTAATCGTGTTTTCAAGTGTAGGTTTTATTATTATTCAGGAATGGGGGAGCCATCAGATCAGGAGACGACTGCCATTGAAGGGATAGTTTGTTCCTCACAGTTCCCAAGAAGAGGGGCCCACCACACCACACAGGGCCACACGAAGAAACACCAGGGTGCTCAGGAGGCAGAGGTTGACAGGAACACTGGTCAGGAGCCTTTATTGTGGCTTCTGCAGGAAGAGCGGGCGAGGAGGCTTCAGACTGGCTCGTGTGAATGATTTCAGTGGGCTCTGGGGCATAGGGACTGTCCCTCATTGCCTGGGACCTAGCCCTCTGGTGACTAGGGCAGGTGATGGTGGCCCAGAGTGTGAGAGCCCACCGAGGAGATGCTGGGGTTGGGGCTCTGGATGAGCCGGTTTGCACATGAAAGGCGTGCTTGCAGGGGGTTAGTTTACTGTCTCTAGGAAGTGGCTAACCCTGGAAGGGGCAGTCCCTTCCAGCAAGGCCCCAAGATATCAAAACATCAGAAATACAGGAAACAAAAATTGTGATTAGGTGAAAGTCAATCTGAAGGCAAGGGGGCAATTCGAGGGCAGGAATCAAGGCTGTAGTTTTAGAAATGTTGAGTTTGAAAAGCATCCACGTGGGATAGGAAGTTGGGAGCACCAGCTATTCAAGGCAATAGCTCGGGGGGAGGGAGAAATGTGGGATCTGTCAGCAGGAAAGTGATTTTGAAAGTCATGAGAATGGATGGAATTATTCGTGGGGGCGGTACAGAGAGAGAAGATGACAGGGCCTTGAACTCAGGTGTGGCAGCATTGAGAGCTGAGGGAAGGGATGGTGCCTAAAGTGAGCGTCAGCCATGTCCCTCTGAATAGCTCTTCTCATGAAAACATAATCTGTTGTAAAACATGTATATGATTCTTAGGATACCAGAGCCATCAGGTCTCAATTAGACATCATGCGATTGTGTTATCGCAAACTGAATCAGTCCTCTGAGCAAAGACTGTCAGTCACACTGTTCCCATCGCACAGCTTCCGTACTTGCTATTCCCTGTGGCTGGGACTGTGCTGTCCAACATGGTAGCCGCTAGCCACCTGTTACAGTCTAAATTTAAATTGATTAAAATGAATGAAAATTTAGAATTTGATTCCCCAGTTGCAGTGGTAACATTTCAATTGCTTTAGACGGAAGAGTGACTATGGGTCACCACATCCAGGATGTTTTCATCATCACAGACGGCTGTTTTGGACAGCGCTGGGCCAGAAAGCCCTGCCCACAATTACCTGCATTGTCCCCACCCCTTGACAAACCTTGCCCAGTCTCTACCCAAAGTCAGCTTCTTCGTGAGCTATACCAGCCATGTTACTTAACATTGTAACCCTTTGTCAATATACTCCCCCCTTACCTTCCATATTTATTTGCAGCCTTATACCTTCTAACCAGACTTACATCTTCCTTATGTACTTTGTTTATTATTTCTCCAGCCCCATTAGTATTTGAGATCCAGGAGAGCAGCTGTTTCTGTGTGGTTGTTTCACTACCACCCCTAGAACAGCATCACATGAATGAAAGGATAGGAATTCACTCATTGATTGACTTCATACTTATATATAATGTCTAATTCTTTTCCGAAAAAAAAAAGCCCTTGATGTCTGCCTTGTGAAAGTGAAAACCTCTAGTAGAACCCTAAAGGGTTCCTCTTTAACTAAACACCGTTGATGCCAGCTTGATACCGGTTTATTTTCTCTGATTTGATATTCTTCTTTTCTCATTCCAAAATGCTCAAGGCAAATTCCCACCAGGTCCACCCAATTTCATCAAACAATTTTCCCCTCTGAAAACCTCCATCAGGCCCTTGGCGGGAACCCTCGGGACACGGTGTTAGTCACCAGCACACGCAGCACCTTTTCACACCCCTTGGACGCACTGGGTGGTTAGTAACCCTGAGACTGTCCAGATCGCCTTTCCCACACTCAGTCAGATGCTTCTCAGCATTTTGTCTTTTTTCCACCTGATTGCCCAAAGGAAAGAAATGTTCAGAAAATATGCTGCTCCACCCAGGAATGCAAATGTTTAAAGGGTTGGTATCCTGCCTGTCTCTGAGAGCACCAAGTCATGGCTCAGTAGGGACCAAATACACCAAAGTGCCAGGAGGCACCGTGTGAGGTGGAAGGCACAGCTGTTCATCGTGTGTCTTCTGATGCGGGAGCGTCGTTACAGCAGTATTCGAGGGGGAATACATCTGAACGGCCGGGTCATCAGGCTTGAGGAAACGCTTTTGTTCTTGTGGGTTCGGTAGCCTCTCTATCAGCTTTATCAGAAAAATGTAGGATTCAGAGACCTGGGATGATTCTCTCTTGTAACATAGGAATTAAGAATCTGCTGCTAAGTGCTGCCCTATCTTGTAGGGATTGACTTTCTGTTGACACCAGGGCTTATTCTGAAGACATCCTTGGAGTCATTTGGCTAGGGCTTTACTAGTTATTTTTGCAATGTAGTTCTCGCATTTCAACACAGTTTCCCTTTGGCAGTGAATTACTTCTTTCCCTGACTTTACTCTCAGTAGTGAAACAATAATCAGAATTGTGCCAGACCTGTGTGCCTCCTTTGGTTTACGTAGGCATTTTGGATCACCTGCAGAATTTTATGTTCTTCCTTTCCATCTCTCACATTTTAAGAACATTGAACTATGTGGAATGTGACTTGCAGACTATTCTTTTTGTCTGTGCGTTTTGACATTATAGATCCCAGTGTCAATCGATATCACGTGCAGTGGTTTCCAGAAGTCTGTGCGCACAATGAAACCACTGGACCAGAGACGTCATCTGGCATGACCCAGGTAAGTAGATAGAGGTCAGACTGCTCAGTTTGGAATAGTTTTTAGACTCAGTTGATCTGTGTTTAAAATTGGACACAAAGATGTGCAGACTGTGTGTCCAATGGATAACTTATTCTCACAAGTTAGCTGTTGAATAATTGACTAGATGAAAGCTGAACACATAATGGTCATTATGTTCCCTCCCTCTTTCATCCATGCACAATGTTACATTGACAGCTTATTCTGTTGTCAACACATGGCAGGTCCTAAAACGCAGAGATTAAAGGCAATTCTTAAGGAACTCCCCGCTCAGAGGGGAAAGGCTTCTGAGTCTCTGTGTGCATCTTAATTGGACAAAAGCTTTGATTTATTTTCTGAATTTTGACTTGGCACCACGATCTAAAGGTACTGTTTTCCCAGTGAATTATGAGGCTGTCATTTAGCATCCCTCTTTGCCGTGGCTGACTACCGCCGACTAGTCCAGCTACTGAAAGATATTACCTGTTCTATGCAGCACACGCTGATGTTTTCAGAGATCATTAAATTCCTGGGGATAGTAAGTCTGACTATATTACTCAAAATACTAGTCCAAATATTTGGGGGTTAATGCATGAGTTACAGAGTAGAATCAACAAGCCAACAGAAAATGTTTCAGAGGGCATCAAATTCTCCAGTGTTGAGGACGGCAATGTGTATGTAATATATCAATACAGTATAAAAAAATCTCAAGACATGGCCCCAAATGGACAAAATATTGATATATGCTGTTTAACTGGAACATTTTTCCTTTGAACATTTTGTAAAGCAACAAGTACAGTATTTTTAGAATCATATCTGATCACGTAACTTGAAGATAGTAAGATAAAACAAGTCACTGGGTTTGCAGAAATACACAGCTTTGTACTGGATTCGACTTGTCCCAACTCAGGTTCACCAAAGTTGCTCCTTTTATTTGTCCTTAAGCTCTCCCCAAAGTTTGTGGCCTTCAGTAAAACAAAAAAAGAAACGTTTTCAAAATGGAAACTTACTTGAAGAGCAGAAAAAGAAATGAACGGAAGCAAGATTTATTAAATTTTTTGTGGGCAAGGGGCGAGGCTGGTATTTGTATTACTTATTCATGCCTTGGAATTGTGTGGAATCTGGCTTATTTTCAGGGGGCTGGCCAGTCCTAGCTTATTATCTTTAGAAGCTCTGAAGATGATGATAACTCTTTACTGAGCATATATAATGTGTCTGCTAGAAATAAGAATCAAAATCCTGGAAAAACATTCCACTAAGCTTAGAACTTACCTGTTTGTAAACAACTTTTAAGCCCACTTAATTTATTTTCATGCTATGATGGCACATCGGCTAATTTACCTGTTGCTGCAGATGTCACCTTCTGTGCCACGGGAGAGCATTCTTGAGATACCTGTGCAGCAGTCTCCTTCGTGGCTGACTCTGGATTCCAATATATTCCCGTAGAAAGTGCAGATTCGTTCCTAAAGAAAAGTACTTCAGACTCCCAGAGACACAGCAGGCTGGGTCTGCTTCCCACTCGCTCTCTGGTGTTCACTGCGCTCAGCTGGGTGTTCCTCATCTCCCCTCCCCTCTAGACGAGGGGCCAGGAGCTCTGCCCGTCGCTGCCCTTTGCAGGTTTGCACACATCCTGCTCCACCAACCACAGCGGCTTCTACTCCTGACTCAGGTGACTCAGGGAAGGACTCGAGGCTTTTTTTTTAAAGATTGGCACCTGAATTAACCACTGTTGCCAATCTGTTTTTTTTTTCTTCTTTATCTCCCCAAATACCCCCGGTACATAGTGTATATCTTAGTTGCAGATCCTTCTAGTTGTGGCATGTGGGAGGCCACCTCAACGTGGCCTGAGAAGCGGTGCCATGTCTGCGCCCAGGATCCGAACCAGAGAAACCCTGGGCCGCCGCAGTGGAATGTGCGAACTTAACCACTCGGCCACTGGGCCAGCCCCTGGGGCTCCATCTTTCTTTAAATTCTTGTCTCATGTTTTCCACTAGTCCATGCTGCCGCCTGGCAGGGACCCCTACCCTTCCCCTGCAGGGTATCAGACAGACATGTACGTATGCATCTTTCATACATGTACATGCAGCTCTGGGAACTGTCAACCTGAATGGATAAGCAGCACAGACAAATATGAAAGAAACATGGTTACAAACTCGTCATACCCGTAAATGTCCTCTTTCCATGTGAGTGTAAAGCCATTTTCTAAGCCTCTTATTCCTCAGCAATTTAGCCTATTTTTCCGATTTATATTTAGTCACCATGTTATGGCAGGTAGCAATAACAGCACTCCAAAATGGGGAAAAAATACACTGCGAAAGATTATCTCCATTGTGTAAAAGACAAACACGTATAAACTAAGCCTATGTCTCAGAGCAGCCTGAGTTAGCTTTTTTATATTTAAGGAACAATTAGGTTAGTACTGACAGCTTCACAGCACTGGCTGCGCTGCTGCCGGCTGGGAGATGCTGCTCGTGAAGGTTAGAGTTGGCCGCTTTGATACGGAATCACTAGGATCCCGTGGAATTTCAGAGATGTCTCCCGTGCCGTGGGAGTGCTTCACAACTGTAATTAGTCCCCACATGGACAGCGTCTCCTTTGTACTTTTCATAAAAGCCATGTTACACACACTTCACATACGTAGAGGAAAATATCCCTTTGGAATGTGATTTCATCTCCTGCCAATTTTTTATCCCTAATGAGATTTATTGCTAGCACATTCTCTTTCTCTTTCTCTAGGAAAATTATATAATTCTGCAAGACCTATCATTTTCCTGCAAATATAAGGTGACCGTCCAACCAACACGGCCAAAGGGCCGCTTGAAGGCGGAAACTGTTTTCTTTACCACGCCACCGTGCTCCGCTCTTAAGGGGAAAAGCCACAAGCACGTTAACTGCCCCGGTGAAGCAGGTACAGGCTGACCTCAGCTTCCAAGTGCGTGTCTGTGATGTTGGCAACACTTTGAAAACATTTCCAAACTACCTTTCACAAGACCCTAAAAACTAAATGTACCCCTCTTTCTAAATCGTAATATGGTGGCCCAGTTTGGGAGGTAATATATGTATGAATTTATGCATTATTTTAAAATTCTAACAGCATTGGAAAGACATCCTATGCTGGCAATATTATCCCTTTAGAAATGAAGCCAAAGGTTTCTATATATACTGCTTGTGCTTTGGCAGACTTTATGTAAATTGTTTATTTTTACCCCACCCCATTGCCATGTGAGTTATCTTTACACACTTTCCAAACTTCGTGTCTTTACCTTCCATTCCCTTTTTCTGCCAAAGCCCGTTTGCAGTGGAGACAACTATCCCTGGGCTTCTTAAATGCAGTTGCCTAAGCTCCTTCTAGTAACTTCTAAGAACTCTTCTAATAACTCCAGTGTCCACCCTTCTCATTGTAGTCATTTCTGATCTCAAAGAAATGGACAAGTCTTGCCAGATTGCAAAATTCTCTCTCTTCCTTTCATCCCTGAAGCAGGGATCTAAACATAATGCCCAAAGGATTGGAAGCACTTAGCACCAAGTTGCAGTGAGAGACTCCTGTTCAGGTACTACGCCCATAGGTCTAAGAGGTGCTGAAAGACTGAGGTCGGATTGCTTCTACCTTCCCTGTAGAATGGCTGCCCAAAATTCCCCAGGGGAACGTAAAACAGGTCCCACTGTCGCTCTTTCTCCGTTAGCCTGACCTGGTTTTCATCTTCCCGTTGCTCCAGGTCATGTTCTTTCCAAAGTACCAGCCAAGCCCGAGAACCTTTCTGCTTCATTCGTTGTCCAAGATGTTAACATCACGGGCCACTTTTCTTGGAAGATGGCCAAGGCCAACCTCTATCAGTCCATGACTGGCTTTCAAGTGACGTGGGCTGAGGTCACGACGGAGAGCAGACAGAACAGCTTGCCCAACAGCATCATTTCACAGTCCCAGATACTGCCTTCAGTAGGTGCCAACTCAGTTACGGTGTCCATGTTGCTCGTGTCCATTGCTCGTGTGTAATGACTGTCAGAGCTGGAGGTTTCTCATCCTGCATGCTGTACTGTTTAGTCTTATTTCTACATTTTCTTCTTCTGAATGTGTTATTTTGCAAGTCTCAACAACACATCACAAGTGTTGTTGTGACTAGAGTAAACTGTCATCTAGATTGATTTTGATTGCTGGAGCCAGCTCTTCAAGAGACCTTATCATGTCTTGTATACAAGCGATTTAACAGTTTTCTTCTGTCTTTGTTAACCCCAAGTCCCCCGGTCGGAGTAGACATGCCCTGTTTGAAGTGTTAAATTGGGGAAAAAAAACAGCTAAAAGAAGCTTGTTGTTTCTCTTCCTTTCCCCCTTCAAATTTGGCTAGAGCCCGTAATGAGTTGGCCTGTCTTCCAGGCCACTTAATTCCTTAGCTTGAAAAAAACCCATGTGTGGGCTTTCACCCTCTCTAAAAACGCCCTAGAATGTCCAACTCCTGTTCCAAAAAGAAAAAACAACAAACAAACCTTAAATCCCAGAAGGAAAAATTCCATGGAGTTAGAAAGTAGTTTTTCTATGAATATATTAAGTTTTATTGAGTTTTGAGAAGAATGTGTTGGCATAAAAATAAACATTTTCAGTTATGGGCATTGACAGATATTGTGTTTTAAGGAAAACAGTTGGCTCATTTACTGAAATTTGGATTATCAAGAATTCACATCACAAGATGTGCAGATGAAAACCTTAAGCCATGGGAAAGTCTTATGTTAAGGAATAAAAGATGAAATCCCAAGGGTGAGCCCTGAGAACTGGCACCTCGGCAGATTCTAACTCTGCCAAGGGCCTGAGGCTGCCAGGCATTGAGTAGGTGCCGAGAGGCTGTACACAGAGAACTCTAGCAAATTAGGAGCAACATTCTGCAGATAGACTGTGGCATTGAAATGAACCAAACACGCATTTATACAATATTCTCATACGGGGAAGAAACGGTCATAGACTATGTGTCCACTGTGTGTGTTTTTGAAGGTCACTGACCAGCATCTCCTTTTATGTAACTTCCTCAGGATCATTACGTCCTAACAGTGCCCAATCTGAGGCCATCCACCCTTTATCGCCTAGAAGTACAAGTGCTGACCACGGGAGGGGAAGGGCCAGCCACCATGAAAACCTTCCGGACCCCCGACCTCCCGCCGTCTGCAGCACACAGTGAGTGCCAGGGCACTGAGACCCCTGCCGTGTCTTGTGGACAGAGAGGAATGTCTTGGTGAAAAACGGAAATAAATAAATAGTTACCGATTGCTATGCAATAGGGAATTCCCTTTACCTGAAATTCTTCCTCCCTATTTGGATCTACTTATTGGATTTTATTCTGGCTACTGTCAGCGTGACTTGTACAGCTGATGCTGAATTGCTCTCCTCCCCTCCCTCCTACTCCCTCCCCCATCCATCCCTCCCTCCCTCCTTCCTTCCATTTATTTTCTACATAATGCATGCCTTTTCTTTGTCTTTTAAACCATAAGTATATATGGGGAAAAAAAATCATAATCTCATATCAACCTGAAATTTTTTTTAAAAATTAAGATTTTCAAATATGACAATATAGGAAATAATATTTTGCTAAGGAGCTTATCTTCCTATTACATATATTTTACTGTAATATATTACATGAATTTTCTTCATAATATGACCCAAATCAATCTACTTGATTTATTGCTAAATCAAGTAAAATGTTTTTAAAAATTGTCACCTGCTGTTTCAAAACAATGAGCCTTTGCTGATTTTTTTTTTTTTTTTTTTTTTTTTTTTTTTAAAGATTTTATTTTTTCCTTTTTCTCCCCAAAGCCCCCCGGTACATAGTTGTGTATTCTTCGTTGTGGGTTCTTCTAGTTGTGACATGTGGGACGCTGCCTCAGCGTGGTCTGATGAGCAGTGCCATGTCCGCGCCCAGGATTCGAACCAACGAAACACTGGGCCGCCTGCAGCGGAGCGCGCGAACTTAACCACTCGGCCACGGGGCCAGCCCCGAGCCTTTGCTGATTTTTAAATTATGTACTTTATTTTTTTTCCAGCTTAACCTTAAAAAGCAGCATCTAAAGGTTTGTGTGTTGATAAGAAAATTGAGAAGTAATCCTAGTTTTACCTCTGATTTTTTTAAACGATGGCTCAAATTTGCCCCAATAACTTCTTATGCTTAGAATTTAAAGGAAAACAAACCCTCTCCCAGTGGGGGAGCTTGCTGGCCCTGTGTGTTTGTAAGCGGTGGGTGAATGCTTTCCTGGTAGTCCTCCACTGAAATTCTGTTCAATAAAAGTATTCATTAATTTTCAAAGTTTTTTTAGGAAATAAAAGGGATTATGGCTTGCTTAAATAATTGTAAGCTTAAGGCAAAGAGCTTGTCTTCGCTCGTGTTTTTATGGTTTTAGGGAAGGAGGGAAAAGCTGGAAGGGAGAGAGAGAATGAATGTCTGTACCTTCAGACTCAGAATAGGAAAGACGTGGATGTGGGAGGGAACCTTTGCCCGGCTCTAATGCTCACGCTACAAATAAATGTGCCCGTGCTGTTTATCCAGTACGTACAAAGCCATGTGACTGCTATGTATGTGCTGTCACTTCTTAGGACCCCATCTCAAACATCGTCATCCACATCATTACAAGCCTGCTCCAGAAAGATACTAAACAGCTCAAAAAGAGGTTCGAAATGGAGCAAATGGAAGGTGTCAGCTTGTGGGCCTTCAAGGACTGGACACGCATCCCTGCAGAAGCAGAAGGCCCCCCGCGGGACTTCACTCTCCTGTGTGACTTCAGCGCACTGAGTGCTTCTGTCCACCTCCGACGCATCTGGAAACCAGTGACTAACAGTGAACTGGTGAGGATGGGCACCAGCTTCCCATGAGACAATGAAGAATAGGCCTGTGTAACTGCAGATTCCGTTTCCACATCTGGTTTTGCTAATGTCTATTGAATTATTGCTGAACTGAGAGTTCCCTGAATTTGGAGCGGCAAATTCTCAAAACAAATTAGTGTAACAAATACACAGTTCATACACACATGAAGCATAAAGTTAAGGGATAAAACTTATTTTTTACTAAATGATTGATTTGATTTGCAAAATCAACTAAGATTGTACAGTTTTTAGGCCCTATTTACTCAGATCTTTCAAAAGATGATTTTTATCACATGCGAATTTTAACCAAAAATTTAACATGAAATATACTCATTAAATCTAAAAACGCTCCCACTTCAAGCACCTGAAGCTTCATTTTATACAAGGACAAGCAAGAGTCCAATCTGTGAATTATGATTGATGAAAGGCGTCCAAAGCAAGGTGGAGTTAGTGAATTAAGCTGCTATCCAGATTTTGCCTTGGAGAAATTTAAATTCTTTCCTAGGAATACTTTTTAATATTTCAAACTATAGTATAAGAGATTTCCCAGATATGTTATCTTTATATTTCCCCTTAATGTGGAAAACAGCTGCCTATACGCTTTGTTTACCATCTTCATGAATCGAAAAATTTACAAAGCGTCTTGCTTAAACTGACAGAATCCCAACTATTGAATATTTTCAATTCTTCCCTGCGGTTGGCCTTTTCCTTATCAAAGTAAGCTATTTGTATGCTAGAATATTCTCAGTAACGTGAAGAAGGGGCTTTGATCGATAGAAGACAGTGGTTTGCTTTTGAACAAGCTTTACTCTCAAATCTGTTCTATCCTGTTGTTTCGAAGATTTCCCAGCCTCCACTGCCCCCGCAGAGCATGAACTCAAGTCAAAACAAGTTATCAGTATATAGCGTTGCAGTGTCTATTGGGGCAACTTAAACACAGAAACGTTTGGTTTAATATACTTTTTTGTTGAGGAATACCCATATATATGTTCAAAATATGCATATGTGTGTCGTTATACTCCTAAGTGTGTGTGTCTATGTTCACATACATGGACATGCGTATACCTTGAGGATGAATGACTGAAGACACTGTTTTCACAGCTCACCACTGGCGGATAAACACAGTTCTAAAAGGTCATAAGGATAATATCTTTTCCCCATCAGTGGTGATTCTATGAGAAAAGAGCAATGTATCAAAATTAAACATTTTTTTTAAAGGACTTCCTCTTGTCGTTATCTACACGAGTAGCACCCTTATTCTTGGGTTTGAAGGTGGGACTTGTCGTTTTGTTGTTTCCGGAAAGCCTGCGGATGCCCTGACCAGTCCTGGGAAGAGCGGATGGCTCAGGACTCCTTCACTTCCTGGAGTTTTGCAGCAGTGTCTAAAAGCAGATGCGATATAAAAGGGAGAGAAACTATTTTATTATTATATCGATGCATTTCTTTAGGAAACACAGCCCCAAAGCATGGATACCTGATAATGGATATTGAAAACTGTCTCCTGTGTATTAAAATATTTAAACAGTTGATAGTGCAGGCAGCGTTTTGCAGCTTTGCACAAGTGACATAAATGGGAAATCTCAGAATGGAAGTTCTCGCTGGTTCCAGATGGTTTTCTGCAGCCCTTAGCTAACGTGGTCTGGGATGGGCTTATTGCCATGTGTTGTGAAGTCCCCTGGTTCCAAGAATGATATATTTTGAATGGAGAGAACGGGAAACAGCCTTCATTTAAAACGCCCCCGCGCTTGAGCAGACACCAGAGAGCCTTCTCTGAAACTGTGGTTTATTCCCGTGCCATTACCAGCATCTGAATTTCAAATTCTTAAACTTTCAAAAATCAAGACTTCTAATTATCGGCTACAAGTTTATCTTTTACCTTAATTTGTCATGAACAAATCCTAATATTTGTGCCAGCAAATTTTTGTACCATTATATAGTTTAAAATGCAGGAATATATACATAGATACAAAATATTATTATTATATAAATTTAATTGTATAAAATTTAATTATGTTTCTTTTGTCTGGGTAATAGACATTGAGCAAATATATTTTTAGTTCAATGAAGGTTCTAAAGCTTACACCTTCCTTAAAAAATCTAAAGCAGCTCTAAGGAGCATGTAATTTTGCTATAATAATTTAGATTTTATTAGTATTATTGGAAGAAAAATATTAATTAGGCAATAAAACATGAGTTTCTTTTATGAATTTCAATAATCTCCAATAATCAAATGAGCAAAAATATAATTACAATTTTTTTATTTTTAAAAATGAGTGCCCTCATAAACGGATAAAATCTATGTTTTTTTAGAAAAAAATCTAAAACTTTTTGAAGCAGTTAATTCTCTGTTTTATTGAAATTAGATGTATTTCTCTCATTTGAGAAAAAGTATATTCGGTGATAGTATTTACTCTTTAAAAAACTGAGCTCATCAAAACTGCCAAGTTGTCAAATCCAGGTGGCCAACTCGAGACGCCCTGAGCTACATGCCTTCTCTTCATTGACAGCGTTCGCTCTCTGATGAGGAATGCATCTGCGCTATCCGCAAAAATCGCTGAAACTCATGCAGTGATTTTTATAAACAAACGAGTGTCCTTTCAAGTCATTCATTGTTTGAATATGACATATTAGAGACGATAAAGTGCATGACAGGTAATTTTTTCCAGTGTTTATTAAACAAAGTTCAAAGTTTAAAAATACATTTATATCCCTGAAACTTAAAAGAGCGTGCAGCCAAGTCTCGGGACCAGGTTTTCTCCACCTCAGCACTGTTGACTTTACGGACCGGATCATTCTCTGGGATGGGGACTGTCCTGTCCACTGGGGGATGTTGAGCAGCCTCCCTGGTCTCCACCCACTCGATACCAGGAGCACCTCCCCTAAGGTGTGACACCCACAAGTTCTGCAGACATGGCCAACTACCCCTGGGGGATAAAGGCCCCCCCGCTCAGAATCTGCATCGTAGAGTGATCTTTACTGAATAGATGAAAATTTGGCCTGTATAAGGAGTGGAGTCAATTGCAAAAGTAAGCCCCAGGGACTGAGGAACAGCTGGGAAGTTGCTACATTTGATTTCAAAGCCCTAAATAGTGTCTTTTATGTCCACTGAAAAACTTGTTTAAAAGACTGAATTTTGACTTGTGTCTGTATCATGCAAGTACAGATATTAATTTTGTCTTACATGTCAGTCAACATCACTTGTGATAATGACATGTTTATTTAATGCCCTTAAATGTACCATGGATTTCCTCAACTTTACTCCTTCCCGTGTTTGCAAATATCTCTGAATCTTGTTACACAAACTTTACATTGTAGCCAGAACACAAAAGCTAAATATGTGTGCATGTACTTTGAAATTCATCTAAAATATAAATGCATAAAGGTGGTGACCCTTACCTATGGTTTTGCATGGCCGGACTCAGTTTTTACCTCTACTGAGTATTTTAGCAAGTTATCCCATTTACAGAGTGATTAACAGAGGTGTCTATGTAAAGTTATTATTTTTCCTTTACTTAATGATATTGTAGTGTGCAGATAACAGAACTGCTATCTTCTCATCCAGATGCTCTCTAGAAATCATGTCCCTTAGAGTGGTTGCTTAAAGTCAATATTTATTTATGTATGTAATAAAAAAAGATTTTTGTGTCTGTCTGTCATGTTATTTAGAGAAAAGTAATCTTGTAAAGAAAAAGCATTTTGTAAAAAACAAAAAAGTATTGTAAATAGTCTGATATTCTGTGACTCATTATTTTCATGTTAGAGTTTGTACATACTGATTCAGTAATAAAGTATCGTTAAACCTGCCTAGCAGACTAGACTCATTTATTTCCTAAAAAAGTCTTTTTTTTAATTTAAGAAGAAAAATTTGCAGTTTCCTATGCCACCACAGGGATTCAAAACCCTAACTTTCCGTGTCAGTGTGAATGGAATTCAAGGTCTGGTCAATGTAACAAGACAGTGCTTCCTCCTCATGAAAGTATTTTGGAGTTTGACAATCAAGGCTGCAGAGATTTTCCTTAATATTTACAGCTGTTGCTCGTGATGGTTTGGGTGGCGTTATTTATCAATAGTCTGCGATTTTGAATTGCGCCCCCCAGATGTATCCATAAAATGCTGGATATATGTAGTGCGAATAAACGTTCATTCATATCTCTGGCTTTCAACACCATGTTCTGTGTTGAAGGCTTCGAGTCTCCAATATCCAAGAGTTCTGCGAAGTTAGTACGTTTCCCACTTAGACATGCGGTGGACCCATCGCATATCCACGATGAATGAGAAGAATGCCGTCCCATAAAGCGTGGGAAGTAGTGGTGCTATCCAGGGGAACCTGGATCATTTTCTTCTCCAGAAAGTCACTTATTATTTATCTATGCATTTAGTCAACAAACATTTCCTTAGTTTCTGCTGGGTGCCTGGTCCCGTTCTAGAGGTGGGACGTTGACCAAGAAAGGCCAGCTCCCTGTTTTCATGGATTCTTCATTCTAGCGGGAAGACATGGGTGATAAATAAGAAAGAGTACCAAATGTGAGAAGCCAGGTGGTGGGAAGTACTGTGGTGAGGAGGAAACAGCATTGCATTAGGGAGTGGCTGTGAGGTTCCTGAAGAGCAAGGTGCTCAGTCGAGACTGCACTGTGGCATTGACAGCTCAACTAAGACCTGAGCAGTAGGAAGAAGCCAACATAGGATGGAAGGGGACTGTGGGGGGTGGGGGTGGGGGGGTGCATCTGTACCAAGAAATTTGGAGTCTCATCGAGCATTTTTAAAGAACACTCTGGCTGCTGTGGGTGCAAGGGATTGTGAAAAGACAAATGTGGGAGCAGAAGATCAGCAGGAGACCATGGTCTTTGTCCAGGTGAAGACCAGAGAGTGGATTAAAACGCAGTGGTCACGGTGGACGTGGAGAGAAGCCAACAGACTGAGGATACGTTTTGGAAGTTGAGTCGACGGGACTTGTATGTGTATCGTATTCCAAAGGCAGGAATAGAGTTGCCTCTTAGGTTTGAGGTTGGGGTTACTGAGCGTCTTCTGGGGCCACTTATCTTTCCTTTCTTGTTTTGTAGTCTCTCCTTAAAAATGATGACATTTTCCTGTCAAAAATCACTTAAACGTTTGTTTTGTGTTCCTTGATAATCAGAAGCCATTACATGTAGAGATATTGTTCTAGTCGGCGCTCAGTAATTTTCAAACAATGGATAGATCCAGAACAATATTAATAATATCACTTAAGAATCCAGACACAAAAGTCACATTTGGGAAGACTGCATTTTTATTAAGTGTCGAGAAGAGGTAAATCCACAGAGACAGAAAGGAGATTGGTGGCTGCTGGGGCTGGAGGAAGGAGAGAACAGGGATGGCCTGCCTCATGGCTCTGGAGTTAGTGATGAAAACGTCTGGAACTAGACAAAGGGGATGATTGCACAACATTGTGACGGTACTAAATGCCACGGAATTGGACACTTGAAAATGGTTCATTTTATCTTATGTGACTCTTACTGCAATAGAAAAAAATTATTAGCAATACCACCTAATTTCCAAATACAAGCACAGGTATATATCATATTCAATTTTAATGCAAATGCAGCTTAATGGCTCTCACCAGTGGCAGGAAGTTCCTGTCTTTATTGGTGGTGTAAATTATCCCTCTGACTTTCAAATGAGAAGTAAGCAAAAATGATGCCAGAGAAAGAATTTTACTGGCCTTGATCTTGACTAGGAAGTGTCTGAGAAGTGGGTTTTATTCCAGGCTCCTCCTGAGTATAGCATATCATATCACAGATGATGCCATGCCTCAAGTTGGCTGCTGCAGCCGCCCTCCCTGCCTGAGCCCCCACGCCAGCTGCCTGAGCCACTGTCGCCACTGAGGCCTCTCCCCCTCCCCAGTCTCCTCCTGCCTTCCCCAACAGCTGCATGGCCACTGCACCTCCAACTGGTCCTCCATCCTCTGTTCTATCCACTCCTTCAAAGAGCAGGACTGTGGGCTCCTGACCCAGACATCAGGCTTAAAACTAACAAGAAAAACTCTTGGCTTTGGCCACATTCTTTTACTCCTTGAGCTACATGAGAGGGTCCACAGGTTTTAGGATGAGTGGAATGCCATGGCAGGGACCCAAAACGCAATGAATAGTTTTTGCGTTGTTTCCTTTGGGGAGATGTTTTCACACAGATGTGTCTTGAAGACGTGACTTTGTTATAAATTGGAGAACACTTTTATGTAAACCAGCCATTTGTGGAACATGCCATTTAAGGAGAGCTAGCTGTGGGTGACCAAGAAAATGTTTAAAAGAGTAAGGATTGGGCAACTCTTGTGCCATGACACAGGGAGAGTGCCTGCCGTTTCTCCGCCTGGGTTTTCCTCATCAAAGTGAGAGTTCCACCATTTCATGGTAACCACGAAGATTAGGTTTAATTATTTAGAAGTGCTTTCAAAATTCCAAAGTGTGTGTGTGTGTGTGTGTCTAAAAATGTCAGATAAGTAGGGATTGCAATCTCTAAAACAATTTAGTGCAACTAATAGGAAAGCGCAGTGTTATATTTGCACCAACACTTTCTGACATCCAATCCCTGGGAGTGATGGAATGTATTTTAGAAGACGGTGAGGAAGTGAGCAGTTCATGTAAGATCTTCGTAAGGAAACATTCTGATCTATAGATAATACGGTAAGAGGAACTTGGAAAAGCAAAGACTAAGAATGAAAAAATTTAGAATTAAGAGATAAATGGTAAATGAGAAAAGCAAGCAGAAGTGTTAAGTGAACTATAAAGGGTGGAGAGAGTTAGGGGGGTGAGGAAGCAAGCGAGACCGCGACACTGAGAACACAAATACTGAAGACGACAGTTCCTGTACGTAATAACGAAGAGTCAGAGATCTGATTCAGGTGCCCAGCAAGTTTTAAAATGGCAACACACCAGAGGAACTGTTGCTGGGGGGCAGAAGTTTGCAGCATAGGAACTTGAAGTAGGCTGGGAACTAGGGACTGAGGAAGAACAGCGTGTAGTCCAGCTCTCCATGGGTAGGAGTTGGCTTTATCAACCTTAAATGCAAATCCACGCCCTCATGGTTTGCCAATCTGTTTGAAGGAGTCATCTTTTTTCTCTTTATTCTGAATAAATTGTACATTCACACGCAATTGTAAGAAATAATAAAGAGATTATTATCCTGGACCTTCACCCAGTTTCCCCCAATAATAACATCTCCCAAAACTACAGCACAATATTAAAAGCAGGAAGTTGACATTGGCACCGTCCATAGAACTTATTCAGATTTCACTGGTTTTACATACACACACTTGTGTGTGTGTGTGTGTGTGTGTGTTTAGTTCTATGCAATTTTATCACATATGTGCATGCCATTGTGTTTTAAGCAAAAGAACATCTAAAAGACGCAATTACTTTAAAAAATTAGTTTTGAGGAATTATGTTTTTTGCACATTTCCCTAAAGCTGAATGCCATTTATTTTATGCTGAATTTAACTTTAATGCCATAGAACTAATCAACTCAATATGCATTTGATACTGTCTTGTATTTCAGTCAATGAGTTGTTTTCATAAAATGGCTGCATGCCTAACAAGTCTGTCTAGAAAAATCTGTCTTATCCAATGAAACTAAATTTACGTGTAAGTAAAATCTATTGATTTGAAAAGTCATTGCACGGACTGAGAGTAATTCAGGTGCATATTTATGGTCTAGAAGTGAATTGAAGGGAGAAAAAAAGAGTAAATTCATTGCAGTTCAGAAACTTAAATATTGCCCCAAAGAGGAAAGAGATTCAAGTTTCAGATTAATGTAACAGTTAAAGACTGAGTTCTGAACAATCGCCTCTGATTGTTAGCGTGACCCTGGATCAGATGCTCTCAAAACTGGCTGCCTATTAGAATCCCCGGGGGAGCATTTAAGAAGACCAGTGTCTTCCAGCACCTTCAGATCTGGAGTGAAGTGTGGACATCAGGGCTTTCTTTAAGGGTCCCCAGGTAATTCTAATGTGTGCCCGTGTTGAGAACCACTCCTCCAGACCGTGATGTTGAATGGGAGATATAATAAACATCCCTGCTTGCAGAGCTGAAGAAGTAAAAAGTCATATTGAAGCATCCCATTTTGCTTACAGTGGAGTGAACTGAAGTTTTCTCCTCCACTTTATGCTTGATTAAATTATACATAAAGATATAGGTGCAGATATGAAAATGCGTGTAAAATACACACGTGCAGATAGATACAGGTAACCTATAGATAGACATCTCCCATTCAGTCTTCTTTCGGGTGTAATTGGGAATTTGTTGTGGCAAATATTAATAAAGCATAGGGCCAAATACAGTTTTGTATATTCTAGTGTGTGGTTAGTAGAAATTACATCTCTTTCCTGGCATTGTGAAATAGCGTTCAGAGAGGCAGCTTGTAGTGATTTAAATGTAGTCAAAGACAGCCAATTCGCATCCATCAGTCGGTATGCTTATAGCACCAGATTACGTGCAAGCCAGAACTGAGCCTGACTGACCTTTTCTTCCCAGATATCTCCTTCCTCATCTCAAACAACAGCCCATCAAATGCAATTGGGTTCATTATAAATAATGGAAACCATCCCTCTTTCCATTGCTGAGTGGCCCTGCTTGGTGTTGTACCGGGTCAATCGTAGGCCCTGTTAGTAGTTTACTAGAGGAACAGCTAATAGAATTCACCTCTAGAGCTAACATTTACCGAGGGCCCACTCATTGTATCCCTTGGCTCAGTGTGTTATTTGCATTAGGTCATTCATTTCTACAGTCATCCTATGGGGCAGGTGAAATCTTAAAGCTGAGGGCAGTGAGACACAA